ATGTGCAGCAAGCAAACCACAGCATCCACCTTTCTGCGAGCAAGTGCAAAGCTCTCCAACAGAGCTTAACAACCAAATATATTGATAATAGAGTCTGATTCACATTTGACCTGTAGAAGTGCTGTTGATTTAGTATTATATTCTCAGCTGAGATATCTACAGACTTGTGAAACGCTGTTTTAGTGGTGCTCTGGATGAACCCAGTCTCCTCAGGGTAGTTAAACAATTGCTCCGTTACACTTCAGTACAACTAGCATGTGCCCAGAGAGCATGAATTTATATTGAAGTTGCCTTCAATCAGCTTTCTTGAAGGAAGAGGCTGTTTAGCAGAATATTGAACTTGATATTACATATTGTCTTCAAAATTTCAAATCTGGTCAAGTTTAGTGTTGGTTTAAAAAGTTTTAAGATTCAACCCGAAAATTTTTAACCATCCTGTGATCAACTGAGTGGCAAAGTGTTAAACGTACTTAACGCACAATCCATGTAAGCAAAACTTAACTATGTTAAAGCGATTTCACAGCAAGTGACAGATGTGTACAAGCTCAATGAAAAGTATTTAAGTCTAAAATACATAACTTCCAGTCACTGTGAATCTCCAGCATGTCAGCACAATCCATATTCATTGCAACTCATCAACTCCATACTAAACGTACAAGGCACAATAACGTATGGCATGCTGCCCACTCCCGGTCAGCTGAACTAGCATTATAAAACCAGCAAAACAGAAGAAAATACCTTAGGAAGTCACATATGGTATAAAGCCTCACTGAAATTATTATTCAGAGGCAAGGAAATTCGGATAGCTGTTCCATACTATCTTACACTGCTGTGCCAAGGATCTGCTAACTGGTGCTCTTGCATGTTTTAGGAAGTTGGTTTGATCACTGGACAATATTTACTGAAGTGACGTGCATTTTAGTGCCTGCTTGTGTAGGTTTATCGTTCATCCTGGAATCATATATCAATAGCATCCTATATAGGCCACCAGGATTCCCAGTAAGAGGCTGACTGCAGCGAGAAGATATGGCCCTGCAGACTGAGCCATATGAATCCCATGGTGCCTCAACACGCCTTGTAGAAGAAGGCATCCTGTTTGAAGGACGTTTCAGGTGGTTCTTCCTTCTTGAAAAATGCTGGAGAATATTTCTAATGGACTTCAATCCCATAATACCTACTACATGCGCAATCAGTGGTCTTTAGTGGCTACTTTAGTAGCCTCCATGGAAACTTCAGAGGGTCTAAGTGTGTCTCCAAGGCGATGCGGATTTTGAGATGGAGGTAACAAGTGACACGTGGGCAAGAGGAGACAGCAGTGCTGTGCATTTTGATGGGCCAAAGAAAATAGATGGGGACATGCATGCCTAGAGGCACACCCCGCTTGCCTGCAGATGGACGTGTTCTCCATCTCCTCTGCAACTCCTGCTCAACAACAGGAGCCTCCTGCCACCTTCTGCTCCCAAGTTTCAGAGACTGGCGAGGGGCAACCCCGGGCTCCCCTCCTGGGCAGGGAACGAAGGGGGCGGCTGGAGGGTGGGGGAGAGGGAGAGAGAAGGGGCGGGGAGCAGGGCCCGGCGGAGCCCTCCTGCCGCCAGAGCCCGACCTCCTTCTGGCGGCGG